AGACACCGCAGTCCTGTCGCGGCCTTTTGCCCGGCACTTACGTGTTTACGTTACTTCCTGATTAGTTTCCTAAAGTTGACATTTAAGTGTATTCACATTTAAATGGCTCCTACTCTTAGAAGCGATCGACACATGGAGAACAATCCCCCCGTGACGAACCCTACGTCACCACTGCCCTCGCCCAGTGCGAAGACAGACACCACCCAGTTGTCACGTGGACAGATAGTGTCATCATACTCCGCCGAGTCGTAGAAGTGCGTGGCGCTGTTGACCAGCCACGTCGCGTGCAAGTCAAGCACGTAGCGTAAGAAGCCGCATACAAACAGCGCGTTGAAGCAGTTCTCACCGGCGAAGTGCATAGTCACCAGCATAGGAAATACGAAGCACATGAATAGGTTGCCCCATGGGTTGAGCTTCTCTTGCAGCACGACAGTCCAGTCGGCCCACAAGTCGTCGTAGTTGAGACCTTCGCCGGCCTTTACCACCTTGGGGTCCTTCTTGACCAGTAGCCATCCCATGTGTGCGAAAAGAAGCCACGACCCGAGTTGTGTGGGTCAGCGCTTGTGTCCGAGTACTTGTGGTGCACCCGATGGTCACGGCTCCAGTGGAAAATGGTACCCTGGTTAGCCATGGAGTTGCAAAGCATGAGAAGAAAGCGGACGAGACCGCAAGCCTTGTAGCTGCGGTGTGCCCACAACCGATGCGCACCCATGGTGATACCCAAACCGTTGAGCACGTAGAGACCGAAGAACCACCAGTACGTCTGCGTCTTGCATTCCGGAAGACAGGTAGCGCCTACGACGGCGCCAATGTGCACCAGCGCGAGGTAGTACACCATCGGCCAGTTAGCGTTGCGGTAGTTCTCCACCCAAGTCACCATAATTGTTGCTGTTGGCGGTGCTCAAGTGTGTACCAAGACGAGAAATGGACAATGAGCTTCCGGAGCTTTGTGCTTTATTGGGGGCGGATGAAAGCTCAAGTTAACTGCAGGATACAGTGCATCGATGTCACGTGCATGTTGGCACTTGTGTCATCGCACCAGTTTAACGCTATTTAACGTCGACGGTTGAAGGGCATCCAGCGTAAGGGATTCATTAGAACCGTCCAGTTGACGCGTTTCTCTCGTGCCCATACTTGGAGCAAGTGATCTCGATGGCATTTCCAATCGGGGACATTGCCAAGCAGCTCAGTGACGTCCAGGCGGTAATTGCAGTGATGCAATGGCGCTACTGGTTGGCTGTCGATGATATTAATAGTGGCGCAGTGTACAGTACGCCAGCAAGAAAACGCTTGACGCTCACGCTCTGTATCTTCACTTTCATCGGTGTTGTCGTCAACAACTTGTTAATGATGTCGTGACTATTTGTTTAGCTCGGTTTTTTGTCGGAACCATCGGCGCTTTATGGACGCGATACAAGAGCGAAGCCCGGGTTGGTTGTCAGGACGAGTACGGTACTACTACAGTAGCTACGGTATTTAGTCTCACTCATACTAATTTATGTGAGGTGCTGCAGACTCTGCTCACCTAAATTAGTATGAGTGTGGTTAATTATGCACTCTGACTATTTAAGGTGTGGTAGAATTAGTCACACTTAGACTAATTAATGTCTCACCCCAGGAGTGTAAACCGGGCCAGTCTTTTCCACTGCATGCCCAAAATAAGGTGATACTAATTATGAACTCAGACTAATTTTGAACACGACATTTTCTTGCTCACGGTAATTAGTCTCACATTCGAACGGTGTGACTAATTTCGAACTGTGACTATTTATTCACACAGACTAATTACCGTAGGCACTGTAGCTTCCTATTACAGTACCATAAATGATGGCGTTGTCTATAAAATTCTTTTGTTTTTATCATGATTTAATGAACTTCATAAACTAAAAAAGAGTTGCACGTTCTGCTCGTTATGATGACGCTATTTGCCAGTGACGACCTTGCTGAGCCACATCATGCCTTCGTCAACGCCTTGTCCTGACACAGCCACTGTCTTCGATATATGCGACGGGTTTCTTGTCACTCGATGTAGCGCCAATTTCTCGCGGAGCTCTTCGACGTTCATACAGCCTGGGTGGTCCTGTTTGTTGGCCAGAACAAGTAGCTTACAGTCGCGAAGTGCATCGTCCTCAAAGACACGGTGCAACTCTTGGACTGCCTCGTCGATCCGATAGCGATCGGCCGAGTCGATGACGAACACTACAGCATCGGCCCCTTCGTAGTAGAAGCGCCACAAGGGTCGCAGTTTGCTCTGACCGCCGATATCCCAGGCAGTGAACTCGATATTCTTGTATTAAAAAGTCTCGACGTTGAACCCGATGGTCGGGATGGTGGTCACGGCTTCTCCAAGCTTCATTTTGTACAGCAGCGTTGTCTTGCCAGCACCGTCCAGACCAAGTAGGAGAATTCGACTTGGCTTCGTCCAGTAGTTGGCCATGCGGTCTAGCGCTGCTTCTAGGTATTGAGAAACGAGATTGCTCATGCTGTGTTTGTATTGTTTTGTGTCGGCTGGTTGGTAAACGCAAAATGTAGCTGTGTCTACTTCAAAGGGAGAACGAACTTCCGGCAACTGCGACCACTGGAATGTAGCCATTTGTCATGCTTGTCAAGCTTGAGTTGGCGTACGGTGATTGGTTGCCCGACATATTTCCAAGATGCTATTTCTAGGTGGCTCCTCTTTGAAAAAGTGGTGTGACGAAGCCATTATGTCATTTGCGGTACCACGTTGTTGCCAGCAACACTTCAATTGTCACAGTAAAGTTGCCGCAACACGTTCTCAGATAATCAACTTTCAGCTTCGGCGCAAATTTCATTCAAAGTGGCGTACTTCGAAAATTGTGCTCCATCAAGATATTCTCAACTGTTTGAAACAGCCACCCTAGATTCCGATGAACTGCCGCAAGAAGCAGCTCCGTGATGGCTCCAGTTCGTTGACCTGGCGTATCAAGGACACGAGCTGACAATGACGGAGTAAGACGCATACACAGCTGGATAATCGTCTCATCATCGCCATCTTCAAAGGGCACAGGTCGGATAACAACCCACGCGCGTTGCATCATCTTGAGTCCATGAAGCAGATCGCGAGGACCTTCACTCTCTGAAGCACACTGAAGAGTAATCACCACACGCTGTGGCTCCACGTATTTCTTCATGGCGAAGCGCATCTGCAAGTGTGCTGCAGTTTTATCCACTCGCAGCGTCGTGACAGCTTTTGCGCGGATAGTATCGGGCGAGGTAGCCACCCCATGATACGTCCCATCAGCCAGTTTTAAGTGGTCCTTTGATAAACACCGCCACACGGCTGAGCATGTCTCTTCCATCCTGAAGGGGACTACCTTGGAATTTGTGGCTTCCAAGTACAAGGCCTCCGTCTCGCCCACATGAAGGCTAGAGACACCGGAGCCTTCCTCTAGACTCTGCATGACTGGGTGTCTGGCACAGACTGTGTCCACTTCTGCGTACACTGCGTCCATGTCTCGTAGCAGTTGTTCGTACAGTGAGTCCTCACTAGTGCCAGTGCAGTAATTACTAAACTCTAGTCGCGTCTGGAGCTGCGCCGCCTCTGTGCCCCCGTCCTTCCTAGATGCGTTTTTCTTAAGTAGTTTCTGTAAACTACGAGCCAGTTTGAGCTGATCTACAAGTGACGCTCTTAGCTGTAGATTTTGAAGTTCAGCTCGTTGTTTCTCCACCAATTGGTGCTTGGCGATGCGTTGCCAGCGCATGGCGCGTCCGCGTCGGCCTCTGATCTGGACGGTCAGAGCGTTGTTCTCTTTGTCGGGACCTTTTGAGGTCATCAGTTCTTGTCGCCTGGTCTCCAGCTGTTGCTCCAGTGTATGTACCTTATTGCGGAGATACGTGAGCTCTTCTTTCTGTCGTTTACGCGTCGAGTTTTGCATCGGCGGTCGGTTTACTACTAATTCGCCTAGTGTTTCACCATTTGGAGACGCTGTTGGCTTCATTTCGGCCTCGATTTGACCCACAGACGGCATAACATGCAGCCCCGTAACTGCTGAACTGGTTGTTAGTCCGGTTAGCAGCGGAGACGGAGTAATAGCCGTCGAGAACTGACCGAAAATGGGCACGTGGGACGCTTCGGAAGATATTTGATACTCAGCGAACGAAGGTAGGTGAGACAGAGAACTGGGGCCTGACGGAGACAGGAGATCCGCGTCGTTTAGTTCGTCCAGGAAGCCTGGCAGTAGGGCGGCAGATAGAGCTGCATCGTCCAACGAGAGGTCCTCCTCCCCATTCCTCGCCATGGTAGTTTTTGTTTAATTAGTGGGGAATTAGTATAAATATACAGATTTAGATCTAGAACACGTTTAGGTAATCTGAGAGACCGCCACGTTGAATCAAAACAACTGCCAAGTGGACATTTGTACACGGACATGACATGTACGTGATCAACTCTGATCACTTGATCACAGTGGCCACTGTCACCGTATCAGACTGACCTCCTGACAGTATTAGAGCAATGAGCATAGCTCAATTTGCGTCGTTACCAACTGATCGGCCATGACGAACGTCGCTATCATCTACTACTCCATGTACGGCCACGTCGCCAAACTGGCGTCGTCTATCAAGGCCGGCGTGACGTCTGTCCCTGGTGTCAAGGCCAGTGTATACCAGATCTAGGAGACTCTGAACGACGATCTCCTCAAGGCTCTGCATGCTCCGCCTAAGTCTGACCTACCTGTCGCCACCCCTGACGTGCTGAAGGACGCCGACGGCACTCTTCTGGGCTTCCCGACTCGTTTCGGTATGCTACCGACTCAAGTCAAAGGCCTTTTTACGCTTGCGGTGGCCTGTGGGCCAAAGGAGGTCTGATCGGCAAGCCGTGCGGCATTTTCTTCAGCTCCGCGTCACTTGGTGGTGGCCAGGAGACCACCGCCATGAGCATGACCCCGTTCATTGCTCACCAAGGTATGACTTTCGTGCCCCTGGGATATCGATCCCCACTTGTTGGCACCAACGAGGAGATTCACGGTGGCAGTCCGTGGGGCGCTGGTACCCTCGCAAACGCGGACGGATCACGCCAGCCAACGGACGTCGAGCTGGAGATAGCTAAGATTCAGGGGCAGAGCTTCGCTGAGATTACCAAAAAGCTGTCGGTGTAGAGGAATGTGCTATTGAGTGAAAAGAGCGACTTCTGTACTCGCGCATCTGAGTTGTGATGATAATGTCATTATAGTAAAAAGATACAAAGGTTCGAAAATGAATTTACGCTCCTTTTGGTTACTCCACTGACATGTTTGTCGGTTTTAGCTCAAAGCAATTTACTGTACTTGTAGTAAAAAAAAAGGATTATATGTTTCTTAGTATAAAAACATGGAGGGGTTGTACTATACTACGAACTTGTAGTAACTTACGCTTCAGCGGTTTAGTTTCTGTTATATGGCCTCCATTGAGCCGTTCACTCACCCACCGTTTGCGTTGGATTGAGGTTGGTGAGTTTGAAGAACGCGACGCTAACTGGGTTCAGTATCTTATTAAAATAATTAAAGATCATATCTTCCAACGGTAGTGAAAATCACGCAATAAATGTGTAATTGCAAGAAAAACTACCCCAACGGTGCGTTCTCCTACTCCCTGAACACACTATCGGAAAATGTATAATCAGCTAAGATTTCTCATTATAGATTTTGACAGGCGCAACTAGCAAGCCAATCAAATAGCAGCAGCTGACAACGCGTTTTGACAAGAAAAGGTAAGACCAACTCCTTACCAGGCCTCCTAAAATACAATAGGCAGTATACGCAGGCAGCTGTGGCATCAGCAATACATAGTGGCGTATCAAGACAAACAATAATCCGCAATGCCGCAATATTCAGTGTATTTTTGCGAGCAAGAGCTACATCCATCAAACATAACACCGAAACACTCGCCCATCTCCTCGGCGATGGTGTTGCCGACACGTTCAGCGACTCGTTGCATGTAGGTCTTCAGCGTCTCCGCTGAGGTAGGCTTCATGCGAACTAACTGTCTCGTTAGTGGGTTCTCAACCTCGCACAGAGGGAGATTCCGCTCGACAATCCAGCGTAGCCAGTCGTACATGTGAGTCGTCGTTTCGTCCACGAATCCAAAAATCTCGAGGGAGGTCAGGTTTCGGCGCTGAAACTCAGCATACTCCTCGCCGTGAGTGGGATGCTTCGAGTTCAGGTGAGAGATCAGGTTTGTGTAGCCTGGGCGCTGGGCTTGCTTGCGTGGCTGTTCGCAGATGTTGCACCGGTAGAGCCCAGGCTCGAGAACGGTGTAGAAGAAAGCGGCGAGTTGCTGGGACGACATGATGTAAATCAAGAATGACCGTCTTCTCAAAGATTGAAAGTGAACTAGGCGCTGAAAAATGGCTGGTGGAGAGGAATGGGTGGCTGCAAGCCACTCGAACGGTAAGCCTTTATATTTGTATTATTCCGTCCGTATCACACTATATTATTATCCCGAAAAAACAATAATCCGTAGTATAATAACAAATAGGTAGTAATTGCGGTATTGATATTATTTTCTCGGAGGCCTGCGGCACACATTCCATCAGAAAAGGTGTTACTAACCCCAGCGTCGCGTGAACGAGCATCCAGAAGTTATTAACGGCCCTAAAATATCAGATATTGCTGTGAAGTCCTTGGGCCCTGCAAGCAAGAGCATCTAGCTGCCATATTGAACAATAATATGTCAGATATTACTGTGAAGTCTCTGAGCGTCATTCCAAGGCATCGTCATCGCCCCAGAAAACACCCATACTGACAGTTCGGCAGCATATCAGCTCTACAAATGTAGTCGTGGAAACACCTCTAGAGACATCAGCAGCCAAAACAAAAGTTGGTACTGTTTTGTACCGTTACTTATGAGAGCCCCGGGGTCCGGATGGGACCCCGGGGTCCCGCCGAATGTTTCACTTGTTGTATAAATGTCAGATTAATGGAAATTGTGGGGCTATATGTACAGGTTGTAGCTGAGGTGCATAGCGGTTGGCCAGACAAGGATTACGCTGAAGAGGCTGTTAGCCGCTTCTCGGCTAAACGAGAGCAGTTAAATGGTAGCGCTTAACAGAAATACGAGAAAGGCGTGAGTCCAGGTAGTGCTAGGGGGAAGAGAAAACTGCGGCTTCTACCGAAAATGCTTCGTCTATATAATAGCAATTCACTTTTATATTCATAAAAGTTATTCACATTTTGTTTCGTACAACAATGATAATTATTCCCCTTTCCGCTGGGTTCAGGCGACCGTTGAGCTCAGGGACCATGATGGAGAAAGAGTCTGCTGCTTCAGCCGTTTGCCTGGGCTGAAGTGTACAGTCTCAGCAAGATCGCTGTTGTTTCGCGGCCATAATAGCAATTCACTATTTATTCGTAATAGTTATTCACTTCTTTTTTTCGTACTACAATGATAACGATTCCTGTATCAGAAGCTGTGACAACTCCTGCCGCACCCTGATGTTTCAAGCGCATGTCCGCTGTCGCTAGGGTGCGTCTAGTTGCTCTGGGTGCACACGATGGGTGCGCACTCAGGACACTGCATGGGCAGCGAGCTTTTAAGGGGGGGCTGCTAGCAAAAGCCAGGATTGACAAGCATTCAATCTACCAGCTCTCAATTTATATTCAAGGACTCAAGTGGTTAAGATACTTTGAACATTTTCAAATCAGCGACCTGGTGCACCCGTCGGCCTGTCAACCATGAGCGACTCTACGAAGAAAGGCGACAAGGAGCGTTGTCTCACGTACTCCATCACAGTACGCCCGGATAACATGGAGAAGGACACAACCGAAGAAGTCGTAGCCGAGAAGATGCCGATGTTCAACGGTGGTGGCCCGAAAGATTTTCTCGAATGGGTCTACCATTTCAAGCAACTCGCAAATCTGTAGCATTGGAATGCTGAAGACAAGTTTCTGAACGCCACCATCTTTCTAGAAGGGGGCCCTCGCGAGGGGTTAGAGGACGCGGCGTTCAGCGACCACGACGTGCGCATGGACGACGAGTTCATCTGCCCTATAAAAGACCTCAATAGTAGTTCTACATGTGGAGTATAGCGAGAAACTTCAAGAAGATATATGCGAGATCCGAAAACCCCGTAGTGAGTCGATTGCCGAATACAGCAACCGGTTTCGCGCGCCGGTGCGCATGGAACACACACTAACACGACTCTCAGAGAGCTCGCCCATGTGCGAAGATGCACTCTGTCGACTTTACAAGCGTGGCTGACCCTATGAGTGGCAAAACAAGTATGATACAAGGAGACAAGTCTATGCTACTGTCGCTGCTCTTGTTCCTTTCTTCAAACTAATCGAGTAAGGCGAGCAGCGACTTCAACGTGACGGAGGTCCCGAGAATAGAAATGGCAATCCACACCAAGGTCCTAACAGTGGACGTCGACCTAACAGCAACTATCATCGCCACGGCAACAGCAACAATCGTCAGCAACACCATCGAGGTGGCAACCGTGGTCGTGGTGGTAACATCCACAATTCTTCAGCTTCAACCAGTAGTAAGTACTGCACCTTTCACAGAACGACTAGTCACAACAAGCAGGAGTACCGCGCTCTGCGGCAGGACCACCAACAAGACGAGCACCAGCAAGTGGAACAACGTCGTGGTCCTCGGGCCTCAGCAACAACAGCGTGTCTGTCCAATCCGCATGGGGCAACGCCAACAAGGAGATGAAAGATCAAGCGACGATTAATACATGTTCGTTGGAGGGATAACGCCCTCGATGGACGCCACCCCACCGGTGAGAGTCATGGTGAAACTGGAATCCGGAAAGAGCGCTATCAAGCGCTTTGGATAATGGAGGCAGTCGAAGTTTTATCAGCCCTCCTTCATGCGAGCAGGGATAGGTGATGTGATCGAAAGCTGAGTAAAAGGTGATACGCCAAATGAAGGATCGAATTTTGGTGCGTTTTCGCATCCCACAGTTGAAGCATAGTGCAGTAATCGTGCACAAATTCAAAATATTGGATTCTCTACCAGATGATACGACGCGACCTAATGACCGCTTTTAGCCAAATGCTTACGGTTCCAGGGTACGCCTATTCGCTTCCGTGGACAGTGCTCCAGACGTACCACCAGAAGCTCAGTAAGTACATTGTTCGAAACAAAACAAAGCGCACAGTGAGGTGTTTGTAGCGGGTACTCATCTGGTACGTATACCATGGGAATTCAAAGAGCGCGTTCAGGTTTCGTTACGGCTAAGCGAATAAAAGAGCGCTTTTCCAAAACATGTTTGTTTTCAGGATACTATATCGTGGTCATGTAATGTGACCCCGTGTGCCTTAAACCTGGGAAAACATATTTTTGCTGTAGGATAACTTGCAACTCGTTCGTTTAATACTAGTACTACACAAGTACATAGTAGTTCGTAGTAGTTTAATGAGTGAATACAGAGTGATGACTTAGAAAAAGATACATTGGGTTAGAGCATCTCCAGTGGCAAGGTGTCATAAGGTAAAATGCCAGTTTAAGACATTTGGATCAGTTTAAGGCGCACCAATAGCAGTCGTAGATGCATCTGATTGGTTATTTTTAGAGCGACGCTCGCCTCCACGAATACCTGTCAGTTTTGATCTGGCTTCCAACCATGAAGTGTCGCACAACGTATAGCAGCAAGAAGAGGATGGAATTGGTGAGGTCTATTCGCGAGGGAGGCAACATTGAAGCTATTGGCGAGGAGAGCGGTGTTCCAGCTCGAAACTTGTTCCGGTGGGTTAGAGAGGACGTTAGTTGGCGTGAGAACGGGAATAATGGCCCGTACACCTTCAGAAAACGGCGCGGACCTGATCCCACTCTGCCCAAGAAAGCCGAAAAAAGTATTCCAACGGCACACACTTACTGCAGCCATTGGATACTGCCGTATTTTCTTCGTTCAAAAATACGCTCCAAGATCGTATTGATGCTATTATTCGAGCTAACGGGATTAATACTATCAGCAAGGAAAAGGCTCTTCAAATGGCCGCACTAGCGTGGACAAGTTGCAATTTCAACAGCAATATCTCATCTGGATTTCAGAGCTGCGGCATTTTTCCGTTAAGTCTTGAAAAAATGCACGTGAAGCTACTCAATTTCCAACACAACGGAGTTTCCGCTACCGTCAAAAAGGCTTCTTGGCTGCGATACAAGGAGACAGTAC